AAAATTTTCATAAATTTCAACATTTGTATTAGGAGAGCATAAGTTGCATCGGGTCTTTTTCAAAAAATAACTTGAATTTTCCATTACTTTTCGACTAACCCTCGTATTTGGCTCAAAACTGAAAATTTTCATAAATTTCAACATTTGTATTAGGAGAGCATAAGTTGCATCGGGTCTTTTTCAAAAAACAACTTTTGAATTTTCCATTACTTTTCGACTAACACTTGTATTTGGCTCAAAACTGAAAATTTTCATAAATTTCAACATTTGTATTAGGAGAGCATAAGTTGCGTCGGGTCTTTCTCAAAAAACTTGAATTTTCCATTGCTTCTCGATTTCGATTTTTGTTCATATACGTGGAGCGCCCTTGAACGGAAAAACGTAAAAAACACCACAAATAGTAATTTTCGGACAAAAATAAAGCAAGCCACAGCTACTTCTTATCATTTATTAATCGATTATCCATATCAGTTATCATTTACTGGCGAATTAAGCAAAATTTTGTCCTAATGTTCGATTTCGGTTCCCAAAAAAAAACCATGTATAGCTACCTGTCGATGGTTTGGGAACCGAAATAGAACTTCTGCCAAATATTTTTGCTTAATTCATCGATAAATGATAACTGATAATATAGATTAACCGATAAATGATATACAGAGCTCCCGCTTGCTTTATTATTGACAAAAAATTATTATTTAAGGTGTTTTTACGTGTTTTCGGTCAAAATCCACCCACATTTACGAACTAAAATAGAACTTTTGTTGAAAATTTTTGCTTAATTCATCAATAAATCACATCTTTAATCAAAGATTATTCAATAAATTATCCAAATACGCTTTCGTTTGCTTTAATTATTCAATAAATTGCTTCTTACGTCTTTTCGGTCAAAATCCACCCACGTTTACGAACTAAAATAGAACTTTTGTTGAAAATTTTTGCTTAATTCATCAATAAATCACATCTTTTATCAAAGTTTATTCAATAAATTATCCAAATACGCTTTCGTTTGCTTTAATTATTCATTAAATTGCTTCTATATTAAAGATTATTCAACAAAAAAAACTAATAAAATTGAAATACATTTTTATTAATTACACCCATTATTTACACTAATTACAACAAACATATTTATTTCAAGTAACTATATAATACATAATACATCTAACGTATTTAATAAATAACAGTTAACAGAACTTATAAAATGAACACAATTACAAAACCAAAAAATTAATTAACAGTTTACAGAGTAAAAAGAAAAATACCTGTAAGAGAAAGAAAACAAATCACATTTATATGCAATAAAAATCTTATAATACTTACAAACTGTTATATTACCATTTAAACACAAGATTAAGGAGAAAAAAGTCTCCCTAACCCTCTGTGGCCTCCGCATCTCCCCTTATAGCCACCCTATCCACCCAAATGAATTTTAATTGTGAAAGCGTTAAAAATATTTAATTTAATTTTAACATTTATGCCAAAAGATCAATTTAGAAACATTTTAACTAACATTCTAAGTTACAATTACATAATATAACAGTTCATAAAGTAATAAACAAAATACCTGTAAAAGACAAGAAAACATGAAATTTCAAAGAAAATACAAAAAAGACAAACAATACGATGTCTTCAGTCTTCTTCGGTTACCTGAAAGCGAATAGTGCAATTACAAGGACTAACGACAAATACTAATAGCTTTGGTAGAAAAGATCGGACAGATTTCGCCAAGGCAAGCTGGGCAGTCGCCTATTGCTCCTATTCCAGATAACCCACTGTACCCTGTCTGAAAGGAAGTAANTTTGATCATTATTCATAACGCAGGAATTCATTATTCTAACTAAAAAGTTATCATACACATACAGAAATAGACAAATATTATTATTAGAGATAAATTACCGACGACGCGATTATAAAAAAAATGTTGTTAAAGAGATTAAGATGAAGACAAACAGATATCACTTTGAGAGACTGTTATGGTTGTAGGACTATAAAAATAAAATGCAATGATCTTTAAAAATGCAAAAATAAACTATAGAATTTAGATATCTTCGAAAGAAAACGTTGTTACAACTTTTTCAATCTTTGAACAGAAGATTAAAAATTCATTGTTTTGTATCTTATACTTGTTATTAATAAAGAGCAATTAAAATTAATTATATCAAGTATTCTCACCTTAATTAATTATAGACTGTAACGTTCCAACGTTTGCAGATATGAAAAGCAAACCAAGTCCAGGAGGAATGCCAAAGAAGAAAACTTGTTCTATTAGTGGAATTCAAGTAAATCTCCTCTTGTTCTCACTTATCTGTTGAAAATTAGCTGCATAATGTTGCGAGGTGAAGACGAAAACAGCAAATCAAGACAAGACATTGGTTGTTTCAATACCATCAATCTGAAATTCTCTTTCTCACCATTTGGACGATCTGCAGGAACGGACAAAAAGAAATATTACTTACATTATTAATTAAAGAAGAGATTAAATTAAGTAAAATATTAAATACAATAAAAATATACACGAAAAAGCAAGTAAAATACACAAATTATAAAATGGCGATGTGCTGTCAACTTTATTCAAAACATAGATAAATGCATAGGATAAATGTTACGAGGCAATATAAGTAACCATAGATGTCTGTACGCAATAGATAATTGACAGAAGAAAATCATAGATGCGGACAATAGATATCTGTTAGAGAAGAAAACCCATAGATGCCAGACATGGCAAATTACTATGAAAATAAGTACTATCAAAATAATAAACAGTAAAGCAATTTATTACCTCAAGGATAACTCTACGGTGCTCAAGTTTTATTCCTAAATATATCTATGTGAATTGGACTTCGTTCTCCAAAAATTGCACTTTCCAAGTCTAAGAGGACGGAACATTAACAGGGCTCCACAACTCCACATTTTGAATCCTTATTTTTTGTTTTCTTGTTCATTTAACAAGTTTAAATGATAACCTGTTGAAACAATTTAATGTTAGTTTCATCTTAACTATTATGTTTTAAAACATTAAGAACGGTCCAACTATAACAACTCAGAAGAGTAAAAAATTTTAACAGTAATTATTGTCAAACAAATGAAATACAAGATTTAGAAAGTCACAAACCATTTCATAAAATAATTATTTCTTACCCTTTCCACAAAAGATCCCATTCCAAGTCTAAGAGAAAGAAATGCGAGTGGCGTTCTGCTTCTTCACGTTTCCACTCCTTTCGATTTACTCTCTCCACGTTCATTTATTATATTTTGATGGAAACCTGTTGAGACAACTTAATATTAATTATATGTTAAATAAATTTTGTTGTTTTATTATGAAAGTTAATTACCATTGTTAACAACCGTGCCTTGTGAATTTTTCGACCAACACATCAGAAGCATTTTTAGAAATAAAAACAAGTCCAGGTAGTTCCTCCTTATAATCCAATGATGTCATCTCTAAGCAAGCCTGTATTTTAGAAACAAAAACAAGTCGTTAAAACCCAATTTCTAGAATAAGAAGGCAAAAATGAAACAGAATTTTTAGAATTTTAAGGGCAGAATAATATTTTTGAGAAATATTTTACATATTTTGGTTATAAAATGAAAGAAATTCTTGCAGACATGGTCACATCAGTATGAAAAATCTGCAATCATCGCCTACAACTGTTTTCAAGATTCTAAATTTTTTAACAAAACCCTAATTAATCGACCTCAAATAAAATAAGAATCTATAAAATTTCACAGTGGACGATCGTACAGGCAAAATGGACTCCCACGTTGCAGCACGAAACTAACATGCTACCGAAATAGTTCACGTAAAAAAAAATCTAATCTGTGGTAATAGAAGCCTATCAATCACTAAATAGAAACGTACTTTACACAATCAAATGAAAATCAAATAAAGATTAGGGCCAAATACCTTCAGGCGTAGTCTCCATTTATGGACAGCAGAAACGGTAACGGTGGCTTGTCGTCTTCTCGAAGATCGAAGACAAGATGACAGATAAGATCGAAGGAAAACTCATAGATAGAAATTACTTCTATATCTATGATAATAAAATGATATGATTTATAGGTGCGTCCAATTATGCTAACTCAGTTTAATTCGTAAAAAGAGACTGATCCGCCTTTAAAAAAATACCCTAATAAAACAAAGGCACTAACAGCATGTTTTAGCTAGCTTTCTAAGAATTAATGCAATATTTCCGAGTAAACCAATTAAAAATAATATTTATGTGGATCCTTGGTGTACTCATGGGTGCATTCTAATCAAGACTTAAAAACACATAATAATAATAAAAACTTTACCTTTTATCAAACAAAAAGAGTATTTAAAATACTAAGAGTATTTGTAATTGTATTGAAATACTTTCCAACGAAAGTATTCGTTATTTGTATTTAAATACACATTTTTGTTTATTTTATTTTATATATAAATTGTTTAGAAAGCTGTTATAATAATTATAATAATGCAAATATATTTTTCTAAATTTCTGTTAAACTAAAATGCAAAAATAAACTGCTTTTTTCTTATTGTTGTTACGATATCCCAACAAAAAAAAGGGGTACACTACATTCCTTCTTAATCAATCGCTATTTTTGATTTCGACTATTACTACTTTATTGTATTTTTATATTCTCGTTACAATTTCCACAATAAAGCTAACAGTTTTTTGTCCGCATTTTTAACTATAAGCATCTTTCTCTATCAGATATCCTATACGAAATTCTAATGTACAGGACACAAGTTAAAAATGCCCACATTAGAGGAATATACAAAACAAAGTGAGAAACATTAATTACATTAAGAGCGTTAAGTGTTATAAAATCATAATTATTTTCACAGACTGCTTACGTACCAAATAAATTTAGATTATTTTATTAAAAACTAAAAAATTTAGTTGCATACAAATTTCGACTCGCACTGTAACATTTTCATCTTTAGCTAGACCACAACCTACTTGTCAATTTCATTTGAATTTAAAATACATGCTTTTAATAAATTGTTTGTCTTTCATATAGGCAACCCACTTCACTACAATGTATTCTAACCGTCAGCCTGCAGTAGCAGTTCTGATTCCTTTAATTATTAACGACTCAACTTTTAAAATCAGGGTTGGAAGTAGTCACTAGTAAGTTTTAGCCGCATAATTTTAGTTAATGTCCACCCACGATTACTTTATTAGATTTTGGCACTTTCGCCCCTTTTCATAAGACAGAAATTAACATACGAAAAAGTAAATACGACGTCTTTAAATTACATAGGGGCTGAAAGCGTAGCTTTTAATTTCCAACTATAAAATTTGTTTCGCTGATATAACACAGCAACTTTAACACATTTTGGTACTTTCGGCTTGTTTAATAAGTAATCAAATTAATTTATGAAGAAATAAAAGCGACGTATTCAACTTGGGGATTGAAAATGTATTCCGGTAACTTTCCAACTATAGAATTCTTTTCACTGATGCCCCATAAGAATTTTAATACATTTTGGTACTTTCAGCTGGTTTAATAAGGGAGAAATTAATTTATCAAGAAATAGTAACAATTTCAAGTAGGAGTTGGAAGTGCAGCTCAGTAATTTCCAACAATAAAATTCATTTTACTGATGCCACAAAAGAACTTTACTACATTTAAGTACTTTTACGGCGTAGTACTTTAAGGGAGAAATTAATTTATCAATAGATAAAAATGACGTTTTTAAATTGGGGATTTTAGCCATTTCTCACAACAATTTTAATACATTTTGGTATCTGAAGGTTCTTTAACAAAAAGAAAACTAATTTTAAATTAAAGAACGAGTACAATTAATCCTACCTTTTCAATGTTGTATCGGTGTATTGGAAAGATGATTTTGAATACTGTATAATTCCACAGGTGACAACCCAAAACACTGACAGGAAACTCCATAAGCAAATAGCTTAAAGTACTAAAACAATGATTTTATTTTATCAAAATTAAGAAGTAATGTTAAATACCTTTCTTCATAAGTCTGAACTGCTGGCAAAAATGCTCTTAGGTTGTAAAGAATTTGCTGATTAGGCAAATTGTTTAAAATGTTGAAACAAAAGGAATATTGCTTAGTATAGTCTAAAATAAATGAAAAACTAATGTAACTCAGGAATGTATAAATATACACTATACTCACAGAATGCTCATCCAAAAACTTGTACTTTTTCGATAGGGTTGTAATTATCTCTAATTAATGTTGTTTTTTCCTTTTACGGCCTTATGAGGGTGGCATTCATTGCGTTAAACTTTGGCATACCTGTTTGTCTATTTCCAGTATAAATATCCTCTTGGAAAGAGGACTAGTACAATATTCACATATAAACAATTTAGTACCATAACAATATAGTGTAATAACAAAATTGCAAAAAGTAAGGAATACCGAAAGCTACACCAGTTTCTGTTACAACTGAACTAGAGAACAAATTTACAACTTAAATAAGTAATGTATCTTCAGTTACCGGAATTAAAAGTAGCTGCAATGATTAAAATTTAAAATATCACTATATAAAAAAAGATACGAAATGGAATAAAAATAGGTAGATGGAATTCTTCTCGTAACAAATACATTAAAGGAATACAAATAACAAAAAATGGCAACAAACGTCAGTTTCATTTATGCCAGAGACATAGGCATAGATATTACAGGACATAGACCATAGATACTAGAATCCTTACAATTTCTTACATAGATATTTATAGAAGAGGGCCATAGATACACTATACACCATTCTATGATTATTATTAAATTATGGAAGTACCTAGACTACAACCGCCGATAAACTAATAAATTACAGTTGATTACCCATCGGACTATGCACTTCACTGTGTTTAACTTAAAATTACTTATGCATGTGAAATGTTGTGTAGCACATACGTATAATTTGCTAAGCAGTAAACGAACAGGCATTTTCAATTCTTGCTAAAAATTAGTTCAATGTTTACGTAAAAGAAAATATATACACGCTTAATATATACGCTATTCTATACCAAAATATACTTTCAATACTTGTTAAGAATGTTTACCTGATAGAAAATAAGTACATGCTTATACTATTTAATTCTGAACTACATAATTATTTTTGAAAATTCTTGTTGCCAAACTTTTCTGTGTTAATCAAAAATACATGTTCAACGCCTTTCCTATTTTTTCAAAATACTCCCAAGTTAAATAAATAGGCATACTTTAGCGATTTTAATTCATTTTGCTATTCAGCTAATACATTTAATAAGTTAATAAATATTAAATCATACATAGTTAAAAATGTTTCACACACTAAATGAAACTGAAGTTTATGCAACAAATTTATTGTTTTTTTTTTTAAGTTATAATAATATCCCTAAAAGCAAAGCCCTTTTACAATAAAAAGCGGAACAATAAACTTTAACATTCCAAAATGTTATGTAATTAAAAAATAAAAACGTGTTACATACTTTAACTTATTTAACAAATAAAATAAATTATTTGTTTATTTAGAATTATGTATATACTTTGAAAGATGACAAGAGCATTAATTTTTATAGGGGGTAGAATAGAA